AGGGGGGCAGCACCATGCCTCACTGAAATTCCATTTACCCAAGCACGGCAATCATGGATAATAGTGGTGATTAAGAAATCCCCATGTTAGCCAGCCATGGTGGCACATGCCTGTCATCTCAGCACTGCAAGAGGCAGAAACAACACCAGAAGTGGACTGCAGCCTGGGAAACATAGTGAGATCTGCTTTCAAAAATTTTAAAGGTATTAAAAGGTTTACAATGTTTTCCAGAGAAAAAGTCTGGAGTTCAATCTTCTGTACAACAAAAACACCAACCACACCTAAAATCTGCTGAATCCTTGAGAAATCCCTTTCCATCACACTTACATGATGATAGCCTCCAATTTTTAAGCCACGTGAGGTCAGACAATTTCTTCATTTTCATTTTTTCCTCAAAAACCATTAGGGGAGAGTGTGCTGGCACACACCTCTTGTCTCAGTACTCAGGAGGCAGAGTCAGGAGGACCCCCACAAGTTGGAGGCAACCTGAGTCGCATAGTAAGTTCAAGTCCAGCCCGAGTTGTGTAACAGAATCTCTCACAAAACAAAGAAAACTGATAAGGTTACCTAATCAGTAGTAACAGAAGACAAATTTATCTAAATTTTTCTAAGTCTTCTCCTTCCTTAATGCTTGTGATTGACCCCTCTCAGATTGAGCCAGCACACAACAATTCCTTTACTGCCGCACTAGAAAAAAAATCTGACCTCAACAGAAGACCCTCTGTTGTAGGTGTGGATTTTACCACCATTACCATCCCCTCCACTCCCTCCTTCTTTCTGCTCCCCCTTGCTCTCCCCCGCAGAGGAATCTCTTTCATCACGAGCCACTCATGGCTGCAGAGCTTGCACTTCAGGCTCTCCTCCTCCTACACTAATCCTTTAATGTAGAGTCCTCCTCAATCAGCACTTCAGTTCTTACAACAGTGTCTACAGTCCAAGGTCTATAGCAGTTCTTTGAGGCTCTCCCTCTCCTTCTCCACACCTACCAGATCGTATGTCTTTGTGGATGCCCAAGCTAATGATTCTCACACTGTATGTGTAACAGGCAGTTCCTTCTAGAAGCAGTCCATAGCAGAACACTTTCTCCTGCCCTTGGGAACACATTAACATCCCCCCCCATTGCTCTCAGCATCCTAAACTCTATGGGAAGGCCTAACTTAAGTGGTCTCTCTCTTTGTAGGGATGCACCTAAATCATTAACATGATCATTCTTTTTGCATTGCTGTGTGCAACACAGGAGTTCCCCGCGTGCTTGGTAAGCACTCTACCACCAACTCACATCGCTAGTAATATTGAACACTTTCTCCTTATGCTTTTCTTTTCTTCTCTTTCGTGGGGCTTTTTGTTTGTTTTGGTCTTGTTGTTGCACTCGTGGACTCGCTATGCACTTCAGGCTGACCTTGATCTCATCAGGTAGCAGACTCCAACTGGCAGCAAACGTCCTGCCTCACTCTCCCAAGTGCTGGGATTAGAGGTGTGCACCACGTGCCTCGGCGTCCTTTCTTTCAATTCTCATGGCATTGATCGTCACCTATCCTGAGTCTGGCAATGTGGGCACACAATGCCATTTTGGCGATTAATTCTCATCACAGAGCGGCACTGGCTAGAGAAGATAAGGTGCGGCTTTGAGACCCTGCATCAGACATTTATAGAATTGAGGTTCTCCAAGTCTGCTGGAGGGACACCGGGGCCCTCGCTCACCTCGGCTCCCGCAGCTACACTCCCCACCTGAATCAGCCTCCCCACAGTCCCCACTCTCTGTGCACAGACAGGGATGCAGCGGTGGGCTGCGGGTGGCTGAGACTGCTCTGTAAGCTGGCGGCGTGGTCGTGGAGAAACAGGGCGGTGGGGACACAAACTAGCCCTGCCTGAGTAAGGCCCGAAGGGACAGAGCGTGCACCGCGCCGAGACCAGGAGGAACTCCGACTCAGGAGCAGCGGGGAGGTTTCAGTCCGCCATTGAGGTTCCCACCGCTTCTTCCCAGACCTCACCGCATCCCGCCCGACCTGTATTGGGGCACCCGTCCCACAACGTCACCATCGTGTGGCCGGAGGGTCTCCCTGGACGCTTCCAATGCCGGATGCAGCCGGTAGAAATCCTCAAGCAAGGCGGCCTGCCCGGCTGGGTCTGCTGTAGGTACTGTGCTCAGGAGCTGGACTCTGGAGCCAGGAAACCGCCCACCTCCCCGGGGTTACCTGATTGGACAGATCACGCATCTCGTCCCACGGCACTGATTGGCTCCTGCTGCATTGCCCGCCCTCTCAGCAGACAGTGACAACAGAAGTTAATCCTTACCACTGTGACTGCAACTCAGAATGAACATTGTAATTCAATGTTCTCTTAATTTGCATTTCTCAAATGACTAATGATGTTGAACATTTTTTCATATCTTTTTTTGCCATTTGTATTTCTTCATCTGAGAAGTGTATTTATCTCAAATGACTATTTTTGGATTGGGTCTTTTAATTTTGGGGGTCTGATTTTTAAAAATTCTTTATATGTTCTAGATAGAAGTCCTTTATCTGATGGACAGTTGGCTAAAATTTTTTCCCAATCGTGTTTTTTCTTTTTACCCTGTTAGTGATTTCATTTGATGTGCAAATACTTTTCAGTAAGATGAGATCCTGGTTGTTGATTCTTTGAAGTATTTCCCGTGCAGTTTGGTTTTTGTTCATGAACTCTTGATTCTTGACCAGTCTGTCTGTCAGGATACTACCTGTCCTAACTTGAATTTTAGAAGTGTTTGCTCTTGGCTTTGCCTAGTTGCTTCTGTCTTTTGTCTGTTTTTAAGACAGGGTCTTGCTATGTAATTTATGTAATTTAGTCTGTTCTTGAACTCACTTGTAGCTCAAACTGGCCTTGAACTCCCTATGATCCTCCTGCATTAGCATCCCCGGTGCCGGACTTACAGGGATGCACAACCATGTCTAGCTGCTTCAATGTTCTTTTTTTTTTTTTTTTTTTTTTGGTTTTTCTCCGGTACCGGGAACCGAACTCACGACCTTGCGCTTGCCAGGCAGGCG